CTCTGCACGGCCCCCCCCCGGCTCCAGCCAGTCAGCAGCAGGGGCAGCACTTGGAGCCTGAGGCGGCAGAGCCCCCAAGCTAACAGACAGCGGGACTGCAGTGCACTGGGATGTGCCGGGGAGCCGCCTTAGAGGGAGGAACCCCGTGCTCCCCACAGAGCTGAAGGGTCCTTAGGGAAATGACTGCTGCTTAGGGGCTGTGAGGGAATAAAGGCTGCCCCGGGGGAGAGGGACTCTTGGAGAGTGGGGCAGTTCAGTTCCCATCTGGTAGAACCCAGTGGCTCTGTGGGTTGGGGCGCTGTGGAACTGAGCTGTTAGACCAGCACTGGCCCTCTGAGCCACCAGTGAGGCCTGGGTAGTGGGCGAGGGAGGGGCCTTTGAGAAGCCCCAAATATCAGCCCTGCCCCAGGGCACTAGAGGGCTCAGGGGTGCTGTGGAGGCTACTAAGGAGTCACCCACCTCTTTGGAGCCCTGGTGGTGTAGGGAGCAGCATACTCCCCTCTGGAGCTGACCCAGCAGGGGCGAGTCCATGGGTGGGTGGGGCTGTGTGGCATCGCCCAGAGCGCTGCTTCGTGGACTGGCTTCCTTTGGGGGGAAGCCTGGGGCTGGCTATAACACCCCCGGTGACGCACTCTGAGCTCAGTACGGAGGGGCCAAAGCAGGGTCCAGACTGGTTCTCTCATTACTCTGCTGTCTCCCACTGACCCACGTCTCCTTCTGCCCACGGTAGGGGGAGCCGGGGATTCCAGGCCGAATGGGACTTCCAGGAAGGAAGGGTGAGCTGGTAAGTGCCCCCAGCTGGCTCCCAGACACTGTGAGGTGAGCACATCTGGACTGGCCAGAGTGAACATCACATTTGTTTTCCTAGGGAGAGCTGGGCATGCCGGGAACCCCAGGAATCCCTGGGAAAGAAGGTCTCATGGGACCCAAGGTAGGGATTTAGGAGCAATAATGGTTGGGGGGGGGTGCGAGGACTGTGGATGGGGGGGCTACCGAGGGGCTTGCTCATTGCCCTCTTCAGATCCCAGCCTTCCTTGGCTGGAGCTGCCCCGCTGACAGTGGGGGAATAGCTCCCCCCCGCATGTGCCCACGGCGTGTGCAGACCATGGGATTTCTCCCAAGCTGCTAACCAGAGGCTCCTCGTTAAGATGACCCTACAGCCCTTTCCAGTGTGCTCCGGCCCAAAGGTGAAAGCAAGCCGGGGCAGCGCACTGGTACGAGAGTGGCTGGCTGGGGACAGGGCTCTGGCTGGGGCCAGCTGCTACACACCGGAGGGCCCGAGGCAGCACCCACAGCCTTTGGGCAGTGCGGTCAGGCTTCAGTCCCAGTGCTACGGCAGCACAGTCCCTGAGCTGTCCCCACACCCCTCTGCCCTGGCTCCTGCACCCCCCAACATCCCCACCCCAAGCCCTGATGGTGTGCGCGCGCACACACACACACACACACACACACATCATCCCCCTGCCCTTAGCTGCCGTGCCTCCCCATACTCCATCCCACACTTACATTTCTTCTAAGTACTATGGTACCGTAACCCTCCCAGGCTCCTGCCCTGAGCGCCACTGCCTTCGGGGGGTGTTACAGTACCTGTAAGAAATGTAAGCTATGGCAGGAGTGCTAGCATGGGGGGCAAGGTAACTTGCAGGCAGAAAGGGTGAGAAGGGGCCCCCACTTGCTCTGGCCCTGGGCCCCACAAAACCAGAATCTGCTGGTGCCCCTACCCAAAATCTCCCTAGAAAAACCACCTTGTGCTTTGCCTTCACAGGGTGACAGGGGATTTAATGGCCAACAGGGAGCCAAAGGAGACCAGGGAGAGAAAGGAGACCGGGTGAGTTGTGCTGCAATTCCTGTTAAGCTCGTGTTAGTGGAATTGGGGCTTGTCACTAAGTGCCTAGGAGTTGGGGGAACTTCCCCACCGGTGCCTTGTGCTGCTGCTGTGGCAAAGCTCAGCATGAGGGCAGAGCTCTGGTGCCCGGACTTGCTTAACTGCTGGATCGTTTTCAGATGCTGACCACCAGTAAACTTGTTGCCTGTTAACCAGAATCGGACACTGATGTGTCCTATAGGGCATAAGTTCTGCCCGGCCAGTGGAGAACCATGATTTTACTAACCACGACTAGGGTCCTGTCACTGACTTGAAACTCCTCAGCAGAACCAGTGCACTGGGACGGGATCATGGTCTGTTCACAGTTAAAACTCCCAGCTGGCAAGAGCAGTTGCATCCGTGCAGGCCTGATGGAGAGTATCTGCGATTCTCCCACTGACACCTGGCACCACCAGGCATCTCCCTGCAGACTCACAGCTGTCCTGCAGTTTGGGGTGGGGACGGGGCAGCACATCTGTGCTGTATTGCCAACCCCAAGCATTCAAAAATCAGGCGTCAAGCTCTAAAAACCCCACCATTGCCTGAAATGGTGAGCTTTTTTTTTTTTTTTTTTTTTTTAAATGGCCACATATTGAATTCTTTACCTTCTGGTTTTGGGTCCTTAAAGATGCTCCCAGCACTTGTTCTTCAGCTCTTTGCTGCAGGGGGAGATACTTGCTCTTTTTAAAATGCAAGTTGAACTTCTCACACCGCTGCAGAATCTCAGGAGCTGGAGCACCAAGAAAACCCTCAGATATGGGTAGGGAGTGTCTGGTGATGAAATTGTGAGAACTGGCCACATGTCTCTAACAATAAACGACGCCTACCTCAGATGGTGCAGAACAGGCCAGTGCTGCAGGAGACTGACTCGGCCCTGAGTCAGCCAAGGTGCCAATCTGTCATACTCCCAGTGCCCTGTGCGGATCGTGCCTTTCCTAACCGTTGTCTCTTTTCTCAGGGTGCTCCAGGCGTTATTGGCTCCCCAGGTGCTCGGGGCAATGATGGAGCACCTGGCCCACCCGGCCCACCAGGTAGTGTTGGCCCTAAGGGCCCTGAGGGGATTCAAGGGCAGAAGGTAAGAACCTTTTCCTCTTGGTGCATGGCCATTTCTGTACACTTCAGCTTCTATCCACCCCTCCTGACCAGGGCAATGCTGCCCCCGAATGGCCAGCAGGTGGCGAGCTCCTATCCCCTGCTGCCTCTGGAATTCCACAAGGAAACCAAAACTGAACCCAAATCCCAGTGCACTCCCAGTCCTGGCAGCAAAAGGGCCAGTGTCTTGGGGGGGGGGGGGGAACAGCCCCTTTTCTGAGCAGCAAGGACAAGAGTGAGCTCACAGGGGTTCCTTGGCAAGTGCAGGCTGGAGGAAGCAGTTCCCCCCGACCCTCATCTATTTCAATTCTGCCTGAGCATATCCCCATCCCAGAGCAGTGAGGAGGGGGGCCCTGGACCTGTCTGCAGTTAGCAGGCAACAAGGAGAGAATAGTTAGACTGTTCAAGCAGGATCGGCTCCATCCATCTTCTGAATCTATGAATGGTGCTGCGCGAGTGATGTGCAGAGGCTATGGGAGTGACAGGCAGTGTTGCTCACTGGCTGGAGCGGGAGTCAGATTCCTGAGGTCTATTCCCAGCTCTGTCACTGGCTCACACTTTAACTCGGGTCAGTTTCTTAACCTCTGTCTATCTCTCTGGGATGAAATGTGGGGGTCATGAATGAAAGCTTGCAGTGTGAGACTGACCCTGAGGTGCCTTCCAGGGATGAAGTGTGTTCGTTCTGGCTGTTTTGTGGAGCACGGCTTTCCATGACCTACCATTCACCCACAAGATCAGCTTCAGGGCTGCATGAACCCAGCCCAAGGACACCGTGCATGGTGTCTCTGTCCAGAGTTGCATCTTTGGTCAGGTCGGGTTGCTCTTGTATGGGATAGTTCTCACCGACGAGGGCACAGAGACCTGCTTCTGAGGACTTGTCATGAGGGATAGGGAGACGAAACCAAAATGGTCTTTTTTTTTTGTAGTCGACTAAGAAATCTGACTCGAAATAAGTGAAACTGTCACATGTACCAGCTCGTTTAGCGCCATGTCTTGGGAACAGCTGCACTCCCTACAAGAGGGAGCCTCTGGGATGTGGGGATGGGTGGGGGCAGATCTGATTCTGGGATATTAGAGCTCCCCTTGCTGGCCAGTGTCTCAGTGTGTATGTTTCTGCTGCAGGGTGAAAGAGGTCCCTCAGGGGAGTCAACTGTAGGGGCCCGAGGTGTCCCTGGGATGCCAGGAGAGAGAGGAGATCAGGTTTGTAGGCTTGTTCCTCCCCCGCTGGATGTGCATTGCCTGGTGGAATGCTTGGCTCTGCCTGGGGGTATTCGCTCTGCCTTGAACCCCACCCATCAGGCAAAGAGGAGAGCTCCCCCGGGGGCTGGCAGAGTGGGGAGTAGTGAGCCGGTAGCACACCGCTTGATTTCCTATTTGGCTTGTTTTCAGGGGAGTCCGGGACTCGAAGGCCCGAGAGGAGAGAAGGGGGAGCCTAGCCTGACGGTGAGATGAGAGCTCCCTAAGCCCTGACCCATCAGTGCTCCCGTATAATAAGCCAGAGCAGCGGGTTACTTCCCTAGACACGGGGCTGGCCCTCGAATCCTGGTTTCCTGTATGGCAGGCCCGAGGCCTTTTTCCCTCCAGGTCTGGCTTGGATTGTTGGGAGGGAGGGGGACTCTCCAGAGCAACTGAGGAAGCCCAGGGTGGACAGACATAGAAGATGTCTGTACCTTCTCCCTTCATTCCCTTGGTTTTCTTTGCAGGAACAAGAGATACGCTCGTTTGTCAGGCAGGAAATGAGTCAGCACTGCGGTAAGCAAGGCCTCACCTTCCACATGGGGCTGACTGACTTCTCTTGTCACTATCAGTGCTCCTTGAGCAGAAACGAGGCAATAGAATCACCCCCTTGGCTGTCAACTCTTCAGCCCTTTGCCCCTTCCCCTCCCCTTCTTTTGGTGAAGTTGCATGTGCCCTGACTCCCCCATCTGGAGGTGTATGTGCCAGCCCCATGCGAGTATTAGGGACCTCTCAGTTTAATCTGGCTCCCTGCTGTACCTGGTGGCAGAGCAGGTCTGTGCCAAGTGCCAGGATGCTGGAGAGGGCTTTCCCCATGGATTAACCTCCTCTTTTCTTTCTCTCCACACAGCTTGCGGAGGGCAGTTCTCTTCCGAACCACGTGAGCACTGATTTTTTTTGGCCCTTGTAACTCCCTTGCGCAACCTTGTAATCCCAGTTCGCAGTGCTGAGCATTGCTGAGTGAGTCTGTTCTCTCAGATAGTATCAGGCATGGCCCCGGCTGCTGGAAAGTCACACGCAGCTAGCTCGGCCTGTAGCACTGGCCAGCTTGGCAGATTGCACTTCCCCCTCCAGAACAGAAGAGGCAGCTCTGTGGAGACTGGACCAGAGTGGCTGTGCAGGAATTAATCTCACTCTGGATTGGTGCGTCAACATTCTTGTGCCATCTGATTTTTCTTCTTCTAGTGAAGGGCTACTTACCCTTGGAAGCCCCAGGGGCCACAATGATACTCACAGCACATGCTAAGAGCTGCAACTTAAGTGTGGTTGCATATACATACAAATATATATGCAAGTAGCGTCCTTCACACTGACGGGCATGAATACAAAGATTAAGGAAAGACTACACAACACACAGGCGACATTTAAGTCAGTTCTGCTGATATTAATAAAATGCAATGTTTACCTAATTTCCACCCATATGACAGCACTTTTAATGAGCAATGACACTCCAGGAATTTAACTACCAAAATGCATATCAACAGAAGACCATTATATTGATTACATTTTTGTTTTGGCCCCCACCTATGGGTCGCATGTTGAGCCCCACGTAAACCCAAACCGTACTGCACCACGGGCCACATGCAGCCCATGGGCCACATGTTGAGTAGCCCTGCTCTAGTGTATTTGCTACAGTGATGACTCCAGTTCTGGTTTGCGCAGGCATTATTCTTTCACAGACTAGTTACCGTATATTTGGTGCTTCAGTATCGGGCTTCTCTAGATATGACTACCCACACTACCCTGCAGTCTGTTCAAAGTGAATCAGGGAGCTGTCGCCGAGGGTGAGCGGCTAGACCAGGAGTAGGAGCCAATGGGAGCTAGAGTAGCAAGGGCTAGGGTTGCCAGATGGTTTCCCAAAAAATACCGAACACACGTGCTAAAATTTGTCGAACAAAACAAACAAACAAAAAACCCATCACAACTATGCTTAACACTGAATGGGGAATTTATTATAAACCAGGGATTCCCAAACTTTTTGACACAGGGACCAGTAAATCCATTCATGAACTTTTGGAGGACAGGTAACATTCATTTGCATATTCATTAATCAAATGATGAATATTCAAAATAAGTTGTTTCTGGTCCTCCCAAAGCCCCCAATGCCAGCTTTAGCAAAGCTTTTGATATGGTCACCCACAATATTCTTGCCAGCAAGTTAAGGAATATGGATTGGATAAATGGAGGGTAAGACAGACAGAAAGCTGGGTAGACCAGGGTTTCCCAAACTTTTTACTTTAGTTGGAACCCTTTTTTTTTCGTACTGTTTTTTGTAGCCCAAAAATATAAACACATAAAAAACAAACTGAGAAAATACCAGACATATAACATGTCTGGTATTTCCTCATTAGGTACGTTGTATTATTACTAGATGTATCAGTTTGTAGTTTCGAACTGCCTGGCTGGTAAATGTGCTCAGGCTGCATGAGTGTGTCTATCAGCCAGACAGTTTGCAACTGCTCGAGGGGGTGTGTGCAGAGGTGCTGGGGGCACAATAGAATCCACGGGCCAGACTCACTCGTGCTTTGCGGGGGGGGGGCGGGGGAAAGAGGGGCAGCGCCCCGGAGTCCGCAAAAGGGCGGGC